GGGGGGGGGGGGGGTTAAGGGTAGGAATGGCGGGAATGGCAGAAGAGAGCTTCTGGGAAACAAGCCACCCCATTCCCTCCCTCAAGACCCCACAAAATGATCTGAACTTGCACTGCCAAAGCATGTCCTTTAGTTAATGGATTTGGATGGCGAATCTTAGAACGCTGAGGGGGGCTGAGGGGTCCCAGGGCTTTAGCAGCCCCTTTCCTTACTCCCAAGCCGCCCAAAGACTGGCTTATGCCCACGACTCCGCTCCTGAAAAGTGCGTCTCGGTACCCTTGCACGATGCCACCTCTTGCCTCCCCTTCAGATCCTTCCTTAAAGTTCGCCTTTCCTGTGAAGCCTTGGCCGCAACTCTCGGACCTCTTACCGTAAAGCCAGTAAACTGAGAACTAGGGCACCATTGAATATTCTTCCACTTCCCAACTTGCCTCTGTTTTTCTACTGTTTGCAGAAACTGTGGAGTGCACTGTATTAATTCTAACTACTGTGGCAAAACACCCCCAAAGTAATACATCTCTGTCCCAGCGGTGGTAAAAGCAAACCCACCACCGGCCTTCTGTAGCTGACTCCGTTACCCATGACCTGCTCCTAATGTGGCCGGTGAGCGTGAAGAATGGGAACAAGCAAAAGGAGGGCGTGGGGAGGACTGGTTAAAGCTGGCCCCGGAACGAGGGCAGATGCTGTACAGGTGCCAGGGAGGGGGAAACCCATTCAAGCAAACAGGCCACGGAGAGAAACCGCCCAGGACCCGGGGGCGTCTTTCGCCATTGAGCGCTGGGTGCAGGGCCGAGCAGAGCAACCTCTGGAATTACGCCCCAACTGCCTGTTATCTTCCTGTGCTGGCGTGAAAAGTGCAGACTGCCCCACGAGCGGCAGCAGAACACAGCCACGTCGCCTCCATCATCTCAGAGGCGCAGGGCACCTTGTGCCCAGCTAAACAGTGTGTGCCCATGAAGTTCTAGAGTGGTCCAAACTCTGAAGGGGGCTCTACTAACCTGGAGTTAGGAGAGTAGCTGCCAGCGGCTTTTCCCCAGTGCCTTCCTGGGGCCCTGCTTACCTGGTACTTTGTCCGTGTTCTTAATGAGCCACTGGAAGAGGGGCCGGATGCCACAGGAGCACGTCCAGGGATTGTCCTCAAGCGTCAGGTAAGACACGGAGGGCAGGTTTTCGAAGAAGCCAGGTGAGAGGGAGGGCAAAGCATTGCTGTGGACAAAGAGTGCCTTGAGATGGGGAAGGGCCCCTGGGATCTCTGGCTCCAGCCTCAGTAGCTTGTTGTTCCCCAGTTTTAGTGTCCTCAGGCTTGGCACAGGGAGAAAGGTCTCTGGATGCAAGAGGCTAAGATAGTTTTCACTCAGGTCCAGTTCCTGCAGCTCACTGAGGCCTACCAGGGCCAGGCGGTGAATCCTGGCCAGGACGTTGCTGCGAAGACTCAACTGACGCAAGACTTTCTGGGTCACGAAGGTGCGGTTCCGGAGGGCAGCAATGCGGTTATAGTCCAGCAGAAGGGTGGTGGTGTTTGTCGGCAGCTGGACAGGTACAAAACGCAGCCTATGGTCCATACAATTTACTTCCCCCAAGGAACAGCTGCAAATATCTGGACAGCTGGAAGCGGAAGAGAGCGGCAAGAAAAGGAGGACAGCAAGGACTGTGAGGGCTCTTTGCCTTCGGCGACCAGAGAAGCTGCAATCTGCGGCTGGCAAGAAGAAGGCCCGGTCCCAGCTGCTTGAAGCCATGAAGACGGCTCAACGCCCTCGGAAAGATTGATCTCTCCAGCCCTACCCTTGGAGTGGCTCCGCGATCAGATTCTACATCAGCTCCACCCTAAGACCCTTCGAGCAGAGGGAGTCTCAGGAACCAGCGAGGGTCTGCAGCTGGCATTCCTTTCTCAGCAACATTTGCTCCCAAAGGTTTTACACGCCTTCCTCTGTTCTGAGCAACGTTTACCACAACTTCTTGGGTGTGTAGTTAATCCTGAGTCAAGCTCCTGCACTTCCTTAGCAAATATTTTGACAGAGCAGCCTTGCCAAGCGGCACAGCCGCCACTTCCTCATGGGCCCTGGCAGCCTCCCTGCCCGGCTGTCCTGGCCCAAGAAATCACCTGATGTTGGTCCCTCCTAGTCTGGCTACATTCTGTACACAGACGGTCTTGACGAGTGCCAGGAAAGTTTCTTTTGAGTGCGTTTCTCCTTCTCTGCCCCCTGCCAAGGAGCATCTCTGAGACACGAAATCTGCAAGGCGCGCCAGGGTGGAAGAGGCCCTGCTGAGCTCAAGAAAAACACTTCACACGAAGCAGAACAAGCTCATGGGACCACCATACTGGGAAGTGACCAGCAGCGGCCGTTTGGGGCTGGGCTGAGGGGAAATCTGTCTGGAGCAGCCAGTACGAGACAACTGGAGTCCCTAGCTTGGAGGGAGCTTTCGGTGACGACTAACAAGGAAGCCACTGTTAAAAGCTGGTGGAGCACGTGAATGCCGGGTCTGACCCAGCAAGGCAGCTTCCTCCTACGAGGAAAGGCAGCAAGCAGCCATCCTTGGGACGTTTCTCACCCAGCAGGGGCAGCATCAGGCCTAGCCCAAGGAACTCCAAGAGACCGTGCCCAATCAGTCCAGCTCTGTTTATTAGCTACACCCTCGAGAAAGAATCTCCCCAAACTAAACCCCCATTTCCCAAAGTCCTCCAGCCACAACAGTGTGAATTC